ATGCAATAGTTATGGCATATTTTCATTTACTATTTTTTTAATGTTAACAGTCTAAATGTGCACTAAAATTAGCATAAAAATGCCATATTTAAGTTAGTTCTCTGTAGAAGATGTATTAATGTATTTTCGCTCATTAAAGCAAAACATATGGTTTGGTAGGGTGTTCAAACATTTGTATACAACTGTAGGATCGTAGATACTGAGATACAGTGTGTGGTTTTTCTCTACACAAAGCACTGGATCTTTAGGTGCCAGAAAACTAGAGCTTTACTTTTTTACTGGCAATTGCACGAATACTGCAGCTTCCATTGTATGTTTTTTGGGACCAATCTTTAGCAGGTACCAAAAACATAAAACTGGAAGTATCAGTACTGGCGCAATTGCCAGGATCTTATGGTAATTATTTTGCAAAGAGTTTACAAAGACATAAGCTAGCTAGGAACCACTAATTCTAGTAGCATTTATGCCAGCAGGCATAAAACAAGCGTTTTTTCTAACATTTTCACACTAAACTGAGAAAAATGTAATTGCTTGGTTAACTCAATTCTGTGTAATTGTAGGCATTTGTGTGAGTGTGTGAGTACAGAACAGTGTATTATATTATTTTAAACATTATATTATTTTTATTTTTAATTTATCAGCACAGTTAAGTTTTTAGAGTTAAGCATATAGTGTTAAGAAAGCTAATTCATCAGTTCACGCACTCAAGAGGAATAATATGAAGCCTTGCTTGACTCTACACGAGTCTAGACATTTGTGTGAGTGTGTGCATGCAGAACAGTTTCATATCATCCGGTAAGTTAGACTAAGATAGCTATTTAGCCATATTAGACCTTTTAGAGTGTAGGTCATGGAGGTTCCCTGGCAATATCATAGCCGTCTGTGGCTGCGAGTCCAAGTGACCCTGCAAACATACACACAGAAGTATAACTGGGCATTCACTCTGCGCAATGCTAGCCAACGTGGGTCTCTGCTAGCTAACAGAACTGGCAGCTAGTGTTCTCCTCCGAGCGTGTTGAGCTGATAATGTTGCACTAGTGGCAGTGTGGAAAGATGTGGTGGACATGCTAACCTTCACCGTCCAAGCTTAGTAGCATCGTATGATGGGGGGACCTAGCTCGTAGGTGGAACTGGTCACAACTGATTTAGGTGGATGAAATAAAGAAGAATCATTGTCTTACTTAGCTAGCTAGCTAGCCTACCTAATGTTTGCTAATTAGTGATTATGGGGATGGTAAGAATGTTTTTTGGTTCAGTTTTCACATGAAAAATTGCTTTACATTGGGAAAAATCTGCAAAAAAAAACAAACGATACCATTGATTCTGTCATGTATACTAAAGAAAATGACCTTTAGAACTTGCCAAATCCATCTACATCACTCTGTGACTATGATTGTACCAGATCCTGAAATGAGGATGAACATGGTGGTGTATGACCTGAATCAAGGCAGGATGGCATCAGTAGAGAGACGCTGAGAGACACTGAGAGACAGTGTGTGTGCAGAATTTGACAGATGTTTGTCTCTGAATGCAAGAGATGGAAGAAGGGCAGTAAATCTGTCCTCATCGTGTCTTTTTAAGGTACTTCATTTGCAAGCAAATGACCAGCATGCATTTGACACATGCTCACCATTTGGTGGATTGCATTGCAGCCACACAGTGATCCATGGTTACATGGGAATTGGGGCCGAGGATAGATTAGGAGAAGGCAGAGTTTTGTAGAGAGACAGTGTGTGTGTGTGTGTGTGTTTGTCTGTGTGTGTTGGTGGGCAGAACGTGAGGAGGATGAGACGGGTGGGAAGACTCTGGCAGGTACTCGGCCATGCGTCATGTTTATCAGTCTGAGATGATGCAGCTTGTCTCCAGGCATTTTGTCATGGGGAAAAATGAGAGAATAATTAGTGTGGCGTTTTCTAAGGTGTTGCATTTATAATCATAATCCACTGCCTGTCAGCTCAGGCTCACCGTGAATTGGAGGATAAGACCAATTTGTCATATTACATAATTAGAATTAAGTTGAAATTAGCAGAATGATTTTCTCCTGTCAGCGTTTCAGGCCTAAAGACTCTCTGATCTAAATATGCTGTTATCAGTGTTTGTTTTCTAATTGTTTGGCTTGTTTAACTTTGGAAAGTATTACTAATTTTGACAAATGTTATTATTGTCATGCCTTATCTTACTGTGGAGGTGTCGTGTGTGTCATTGCAGGTTGTTGTGAGCAGCATCCATAAGAACTGATTTGCTGTTTTGTGTTCTGCCTCATTTCGGCATAAGGCTGTGTTGCTCAGATGTGTTTGTTTGTTTTTGCTGATCACATTTCTAGATTAAGACATCAGGCTTGCTTAGTCACCGTGACGGGACTCCAAATTAAATTTGAGAAAATCAGGCTGTGTTTTTTTTTGCGGCGAGACAGAAATGAAAGGATCTCAAAAGATTAGGCATGTCAGATTTTACCCAGAATCCCTGATCTAAATATAGCCTAAAAGGTATGGAGAGAAAAAGTCTTCGCAAAAGTTTTAAAACAGCTTTGAAAGGGTGTGAAAGCTGCTCCTGGAGACGTGCTGTTTTGCCAGTAACCATTGTCTTTTTTCTAACTGTTGTCTTTTGCATTCCGAGAAAATGAGGACCCCACAAAACAAGTTGGAAAAGACGAACACACATGGAAACAGAAACAAGCATGTTGTTGTGCTGCTGCGGGTTCTGATCAAGAGCTAATTTTAACACATAGGTTTGGTATCACATCAGCACAGATGAATCAAAAGAACTGTGATAAAAGAATCGACTGCAAGCTGCAAACTTTTTTTAAACCCTCTGATACAGCAGGATACAAACACTGTGTCCCTGTCAGACTGAAAGGAGAGGAATATACTGTGTTGTTATCATGCACTACTGTTCAGCACTGCGTCATATAACAGTTAAGAGATACCCAAGTGCTGTGTTATACATAGTGTTTGGTTACAGACCATCTGCACCGTGGTCAAGTACCTGTGTCCATAAGCAGCGTTCTCTGGAGGTTGTGTAGTGGTCACATTAATTCCCATGCGATGCTAGAGTTTGCAGTACTGTGTCAGGTTCCTTTTCATTTTTAAGGGTGTGTTCAGACTTGGCAGGTTTGGTCTGATTAACATGAACACTGGACCTGTATTACAGGAATTTCATGTCTTTTATCCTAAATTAAAATCTGACAGGTCAAGATTTGATTTTTCACAAATTCCTATTACAGAGAGGAATCTTGTCTTAATTTAGGAAAGATTTGTCATCTAGACAGCTACCATTGTAAAAACAATGTCAAAACAAAACTAAAATGTGGTTCACTGGAAGTTGAAAAAGTTATTAAAAGTTAAAACATTATTATTGTAACAGTGTCCTGTCCTGCACTGTTTAATGGGTCGTAATCATTCCCCGGTTTCAGTTGCCATTTCCCAAAGCTGTGTTTACTGTCTGGGATTTTTTTAAACTACAGATTTAAGGAAAAAACATCACTCTCAGAAGTGAAACCACCATTTTACAATATGAATAAATGTCATCATGGCAGTTATAGAGAATTTACTATGGTGCCTACAAAAAAATCAATCTGCACTGATTAGCCATACCAGTAAAATCACCTCCTACACTCGTTGTCCATTTTATTAGCTGCACTCACTATATAGGAGCACTTTGTACTTCTACAATTACAGACTGTAGTTCATCTGTTTCTCTGCATACTTTGTTAGCCCTGTTCATGCTCAGTGGTCAGGAGCCCCACAGGACCACCACAAATGGATCATTCTCAGCACTGCAGTAACACTGAAGTGGTGGTGGTGTGTTAGTGTGTGTTGCGCTGGTCTGTGGACAGTGAGTGGACGCAGTGTTTAAAAACTCCAGCAGCACTGCTGTGTCTGATCCACTCAGACCAGCACAACACACTCCACCACATCAGTGTTACTGCAGTGCTGAGAATGATCCACCATCTAAATAGTACCTGCTCTGTGGTGGTCCATGGGGGTCCTGACCACTGAAGAAGAGGGTAAAAGGGGGCTAACAAAGTATGCAGAGAAACAGATGGACTACAGTCTGTAACTGTAGCGATTATATGGTAAGTGAAGCTGATAAAATGGACAGTGAGTGTAGAAACAAGGGGGGGGTGTTGATGTTATGGCTGATCGGTGTATTTTCAGTAGAACGGTAAACTACTAAATAAATAAATAATGAGTTGTCAAAAAGTTAGGACAGTATTTAGGACATTTTGTCCAGTTGGGATGCTTCAGTAAAACTGTTTTCTTACCTGGATTTAGGATGAGATTGTGAACTAGCAACTATTGTCCCAAATTCACCCCTAACTGAAGTTGTCAACAGATAAGATTTCAAATTAAGGATGTATCTGTAATACAGCCCCGGTGCAGTTGCTCTGTTAGTCTGGGTCATTAAAACAAGTGATGTGCTAACTCGTATGTGCCCCAAATGGACCGAGACCCCCTGAGGAGGTCATAAAATCTCGGCTGACTTCTTTTGTTTCAATGTCAAATGTGGGAGTGTGAACTCTAAGTGAACCAGAACTAAAATGCAGCAATGCATCCTTTTCTGCTTTGGTCCACACCAAAGGAACCAAACTACAAGTATAAGCACACCCTTAAAGAAGGAAACAGAGCAAAACAGTTCCGTCAGGTTGTAAACATAGAGCACCAGCACCCAGGAAACATGGGGTTTGTTACTACAAGCTTAAATGTCGTCGATACCACAATATTGTGATATATTTTGAAATTACTGTTCCCAATTCAGAAGTGTTACCTGACTGTGTCTAATGGCAAAACACCATAATAGATTCACGTCTAGAACCACTGGTCGTGAGTGAAACCTCACTCATCTACAATGTAAAGTTCACTAGTTAAATACACTTAATCTAAACTAGCGTCCAAAATATTCCCCAAATCTGAGTCCCCTTCCAATGAAAACTATCCATAAGTGAACTGACTAATCTTAATTGACTGGGTTATATTAACTGGTGTCATTTCCTGTTCCAGATGGTCAGAAGCAGGAGGTGCAGTTGGATGGCTCCGCTTCGAGGCACTGCTTTAATGACCTGAGTCCAAACACACAGTACAAGATCACTGTCTACGCTCAGCTGCAGGACACAGAGGGGCCAGCCGTGACCACCATCCAGAAAACATGTATGTAGAGTCACACTCTCACATATATGAACCAAAAACTATATTCTATGTATGTACATCATATATATATATATATATCTATATATATATATATATATATTATATATATATATATATATATATATATATATATGTATGATGTTTTTTCATGCTGTACACAGCATGAATTAGAGGTAAAATAGAATCAAGCAGTGATTTAAGTTGTAAAAATATTTTACACTTAAGACAATTGGCCAACAAACAAACAGCACAGCATGTTTTTCCATCCGTTTCACTGCAGTGCAGGGGTCACCGGTCTTATTCTCAAAGGGCCGGTGTGGCTGCATGTTACCAGCCAGGCAGAAGCACATCTTATCTAACTAATCAATTGAAGACTGAGACCAACTGATGTGGACTCAGTGGAATCAAGGGGGAGTTCTGCTTGATTGGAATGAAAACCTGCAGCCACACTGGCCCTTTGTGGATAAGATTGGTGACTCCCGCTATAGTGCCTTTGTCACACCTGACCAGTTTTTAATTCTTTCAGCACTGTGTAATGTAACACACCTGATTGAGTTGATGACCATCTGAAAGGGGGAATCGAGTGAATCTGATTAGAGCTGCAGTAAATCTCCAAGATTTTGGGCAGCTCCAAGATCACATAGCGCGTCTCAGCATGTGCGCACAGACATACATACACATACAGACACACACACGTCAACTGAACACACACACTCACACAGAAGCGATAATTGCCACGGTCTTCGTGTTTGTGGTGATGTGTCATATAACAGCATTCAGACATACGTTGGATTTATTGCTTTGTTTTGAAGTCAATCAAAAATGTAAAACGTTGCGGCTGTCTGTGTGTTTCCCAGCGGCGATGTGGGCAAGTCCTGTAATTGGCCCCATCACACACATGCTGCCTACAGCAGCCTTACACTCATATACCGGCAATACACACTTCACAGAGGTACATACTGGAGGGGTAATCATGCACACAATCACACCCATAATCAGACACATCAGAGAGAGAAGAGATGCCACGTTTCACTTGTCACACACACACAAACACGTTTTTATATATTATCAGGACATTAACTCATGCGTATTGCTGCTGTTGGGACAAAACCTCGTATCTCCATTTTTATCGTTTTTCAGTTTTTGACATATGAAAATGCCTGTTGTTCTTTACGCTGCGTATAAATTTCATGACGAATGGACCAAAAGAAATGACCCAAAATGACTCAGTAAAAAGTCTGGTTCCATTGACTTACATCAAAAGTAAAATGTTTTTTCCTTCTCCTGTAAAGTTACCATATGTAATAATAGTATGTCCCATATGTATTATATATACTGTAGCTGTTGGAACAAAACCTCAACTGAAAAGTTTTAACTTTCATGTAAGCAACTAAATTTTATTCAGTGTCATTTTGAACCATTTCTGTTGGTGTATTTGTCATTGATTGTTTGCGGTATATAAAAGCCAGCTGGCATTTTCAAATTATGTAAAAAAATTATAATAATAACATAAAATAAAGCGATGATATATAAGCATCCATATGCAATTCTAGTTTTCTAAATCTAACCCTAATCTTAACCTCGGGAACCAAGGTTTTTCTTTTTTTTTTTATAAAACACTAATAAAACAGCCAGGAGCATTTTGCTGGACCTCACTTTTTTGCTGGTTGGTTTTTCTGCAAAGTTGGGACTTTTTTTCTCATGAATACGTGAAAAGCACCCTCCCCTAGACACACACACACACACACATGCACACACACACACACACACACACACATACACACACTGTGTCACACAAAGCTCACTCCTGCATGTTTGTGTTCCTGCAGTTCCTGTACCCACCACTCCTCCCACCAGGCCCCCAACCACCACCCCTCTACCCACCATTCCTGTAGCTAAAGAAGGTAAGCCTTAAAACGTCAACTTTAAAGCTCCTATATTAACACGTCACACTATTCCAGAAGATAAGATTACAAAACTGAACTTAAACTCTTCAGAAACATTCTTTGTCACTTCTTTGACAACAACAGCTAAAACTAGCATTTTGCAGTTTTTAAATTTTGCAGTTTCCTTTTTTGTGCTTATGTTCTTTTATCTTTTTGAATAGTTAAACTCAAACAGTTCACTGTGAATGCACATTGCATAATCTTTGTCCTGGCCTCTGTTTTAAAGGCCATTTTGTGTGGCGTCTGTCATCTCCAGTCCCTAAATAGCCAAGCAGGACAATCAATATCATAATTTATCTGCTAATTTAGCTTAATCAGAGTCTCAGTCTGAAGGATCAACATCAGACTGTTACTATGGTGATGGTCTCCTGCTACCGCTGTTGGGCTCAGACATGCAGTCCTGAACTCAGCGAAATCAAACACACTCCAGCTAAAACAGAGAGAGAGAGAGAAGAGAGAGAGAGAGAGAGAGAGAGAGAGAGAAGAGAGAGAGAGAGAGAGAGTGAGAGAGAGAGAGAGAGAGAGAGAGAGAGAGAGAGAGGAAGAGAGAGAGAGTGAGAGAGACAGAGAGAGTGAGAGAGACAGAGAGAGAGACAGAGAGAGAGAGACAGAGAGAGAGTGAGAGATCCATTTGATTGCTTAGAGTGTCTCATCTAGAAAATCTGATTTTTTTTCTTTTGCTCATCAGAATTTGAGTGGAGGCCTTTGTTGGGTAATTGACTGGGATTTTTTTAAACCTTCTAGAGTTTTAAACATTCTAGAGTTATTATGGTATTATTATTTGCAACGTTTAATTTTGCATTACTTCTTTATTTATATCTAATTACATAATTATTTCTATAATCTTTTGTAATGAATTATATCACATTCAGTGTACCATCATCAGCTTTGTCTGCACTTCTGACTTATATTTTGTTTTGCTGACAAAAAACGTGTAAAAAATGTAGGATGGTTACTCTTTCTGTGAAACAAGACCATCCACACCGAGAATATCTTTTCAAATTCAGGTCACAATAAAATATTTCTTCTTCAAATTCCAAACCAAATGTGATTTAGATTTAAAGTTTAGAACCAGCACTTTCACAAGAATTTGTCTGCATGTTTCGATAAGCTAATAATTAACCTCTTAAATGTCTAGGGTCCACCAGTGGGCCCAAGGTTTTAGTATACACTTCTATAACCTAAGAATAGCTGTCATAGAATAGTCATAGACTAGCAATTCAAACAGTCAGTAAGCCTTAGAATGTAATAAACCTGGGATTTTAATTGTGCCATGAGGGACCCAGTGTGGTTAGCCTTGTCCCGGCCAGTGAAGGGGGAACGTTTACTGCTGTCCTACAGTTCTGCTTTGTTTTGTCTTTCTGTTAAGTATTGCTCTCTGTTTTTGTCCCCCTCTCTCTCTCAGTATGCAGAGCAGCGAAGGCTGATCTGGTGTTTTTGGTGGACGGATCTTGGAGTATCGGTGATGATAACTTTGTGAAAATCATTCGCTTCTTGTACAGCACGGCTGGAGCGCTGGATGAAATCGGGCGTGGAGGCACACAGGTCAGTCCTGGGCTCCTATCATAACATATTTCACGCCGATCATTAACATTAAATGTTGTGTGTCCGTTTCCTAATGCTCAGTTCTAATTCTGAATAGTATATTTGAACGCTGAATAAATAAAAAGCTTATTCTAGTTGCTGTGTGCTTAGTACACTCTTAAAAATGATGGTTCTTCAAGGGTTCTTCAGCAAAGAAAATGGTTCTATAGAGATCCATGAACACTAAAGGAACCCTTTGCATCATGAAAGGGTTCTTCAGAATGTGCTTTAGATGGTTCTACATAGAACGCTTTTGAAAAGGATTCTATATATCACCCAAAAGGGTTATTCTATTGTTAAGATATCAAGCTTATAACAGCAGAAGAATCCTTTTGGGTACTATATAGAACCTTTTCAAAAAGGTTCTATATAGAACCATCTACAGCACATTCTGAAGAACGCTTTCATGAAGTTCATGGGTCTTTTTAAAAACCATTTTCTGCACTAAAGACCCTTAAAGAGCCTTATTTTTCAAAAGTGTAGGATAGGAAAGCTGAGCTAATGCTGTTAGGTGGCCAACTCTGCTAACCGGTTGTGCTGTAGCAAGTGAAAGGCTAGACTTCTTCTGCTTTCCCTGCGTCTACTAAGTAAAAGGCCTACATCACCACCTAGTGTACTGGAGCTCGAAGCTCCAGTGTTTGCTGCTAATGTCAGATTGAGGGACAGAATGGCTCAATAATGTTTTTCAAAATCGCCTCAAAATTGTGTCACTGATATATTTAATAGTCAGTACTGTGTTATCGTGATATATTACATCACAATATGTCACATGATGCTTTTCTAAACATGATTAGATATTGTCAGTACTTAAAAACCATGTCACAACTGCATGTTTGATTAAAAAGAGCATGATTAGTCTTGTTTAATTGGATTTAGTGCAGCAGAGGGTGTGAAACATTAAATTCAAGTGACTGTATTAATAGTTTTGATCAAATTTTTAAAATGTGGCTTATCAGATGTCAGAAAAAATAAATATCGTGACACATCGTGTCTCGTAAAACACTTACTGAAGTATCGCGATATTACATTTTGCCGTATCGTCCACCTCTAAGTCATTATTATTGTCTTATTGCCTAGGCCTGTGTCTGACCCATTAAAATGGTCCAGTCTTATGCTGGTGGGATGTTGCTGCTGCACAGCGCTGCTGTCGGAACAAAACCTCAGATCTCCATTTTTGACATTTTTCAGTTTTTGACCTAATCTGAAAAGACCTGTTACCCTTTACATTGGATGTGAATTTCGTAATGAATGGTCTAAAAGAAATGACCCAAAATGACTTGGAAAGAACTCTGGTTCCATTGACTTACATTAAAAGTAAAGTAGGTTTTTCCCTTTTCTTGTAAAGTTACCATTTTCGAGATACAAGGTTTTCTTCCCACAACAGCGACAGGCTTCGTTAGCTTTTTCTCTGTTACGACACCATGCAGAACCCCATTTTAGATCTTAATCAGGGTTCAGCTGTGTGATACAGATTGACACTGCGTGTTAGTGCACTCTCACAGTTAGATCCTCCTCACAGTTAGATCATCCTGAAGAAAGTCAACTTCCTCTGCTTATTACCAGAGTTATTATTTCCTTAATGACTCTCTATCTCTCCCTGGCAGGTGGCCATAGCCCAGTTCAGTGATGACGCCCGCACTGAGTTCAAACTGAACTCCTATGATAACAAGGAGAGTCTGCTGGATGCCATTCAGAGGATTTCATACAAAGGAGGAAACACTAAAACAGGCAGGCTGTTCTCCACTTTGTACCCAGTGTGTCTCTGAGATGGTGGAGGTGGCATGGTGGCTAATATATGACTAATGGGTAGACGGTGAAGTTTCACAGAACAGTGGAGCTGTGCTGATCACAGACATCATAATACACATGCATTCTTTTTAGTTTCTTTTTTTCTGTACACTTAGAAAAGCATATTGTACATCTGTTATCACTATTATACACCGTTCAGACATAACATTATGACCACCTCCTTGTTTCTACATTCATTGTCCATTCATTGATCCACTCAGACCAGCGCAACACACACTAACACACCACCACCACATCAGTGTTACTGCAGTGCTGAGAATGATCCACCACCCAAATAGTACCTGCTCTGTGAGGGTCCATGGGGGTCCTGACCACTGAAGAACAGGGTAAAAGGGGGCTAACAAAGTATGCAGAGAAACAGATGGACTACAGTCTGTAACTGTAGAACTACAAAGTGCACCTATATAGTAAGTGGAGCTGATAAAATGGACAATGAGCGTAGAAACACGGAGGTGGACATAATAATATGCCTGATTGGTTTATAATAATTTTTTTTACTTTTTAAACCATTTTCAAATGGCTGCCCTTTATATTGTGTGAACCAACCCACAAATATAATGCAAATCCATTTTATTTAATTTGCATTAAATGATGTTAAGAATGTTTTTTCCTTCCTTGGAGATTTTTTACAACACCAATATTATGTTCACACATATTAATATTAACACACCAACACAAGCTCTGTGAAACTTGACTGGATATCAGAAAGCACTCTGTAGTTGACCGTCCACTGACCTCTGACCATTGACCCATAGGACGAGCCATGCAGCATGTGAAGGACAGTATCTTCACGGTGGCCGGAGGAAGCAGGCGAGGCGTGCCGAAAGTGCTGGTGGTCCTGACAGACGGCCGTTCCCAAGACGATGTCAACAAGATCTCCCAGGAGATCCAGATGGAGGGTGGGTAACGCATTTGTCTCTGTGGCTGTGAGCAGAATGGATCCCAACCTGCGTTTTAGGGCCCTATTATGTGTGTCAGCCATTCTTCTCTTAGTGTCCGAATCATAAAATGGAACTGTGGAGTTTCTAGTGAACGCTGTAGTTCACTACATCAGCTGAATGAGTACCAAAGTGCATTGCAAGCCTTTTATCAGTAAGAAATGGACAGAGGATTGTTAGAGGAGTGGTGGCCACTGAGCCTTTGAAAACGGAACTTGTCAGGCTCTCTCAGCTCTCTAGGGAAGCGCTGAATATAGCAGCTCTGTACAGTGAAAAGAAAGACCTTTACTGCCTGCTGCTCATCATACAGCAAAAAAACAGCCGTAGTTTTCTCCAATCATGGGCCACGCATTAAATGCATGTCTAGTACCTAGTCAAGTTCTGTGCTTTTTTCTGATCCTCATCCTCTGCACTATTCAGAATATTTTCAGAATGTCAGAATAAAACAACTTCAGCCTCACTCAAGCAACTAATGTCGCTTTGTTTATATGACTGGTGAGTACTGATGAAGACTGATGATGAGAAAGTGTCAGTGGCACAGAATTAAAATGTGTTACATCCACAGATTTCCTGCCAGTAAAGTGGAACATAGCACTTCGATGTAACATTTTATTCATGTACAACTAAGGAGGCACTGATGTAGGAATTGTGCGCCGATGCTAATATCTGATATTTTTATATACACATCTGCTGATACATAAATATTTATAAAATGTAGAACGTGGGACAAAATCTGCCTGGATTAGCAAATATGACATTTGTTTCTATAATGTTCCAAATGCAGGAAAATAAATAAAATTCATAAATTTTAGCACAGTAACCCAGTGTTGACTAAAGTACAATATAAACCTAATTAAATATCAGTTTGTAATAGTGGTCAAGTCCTAATATCTCTCTATGATCTATCACTTTTTTTAAGTGATCTGACAATACCTATATGACTCTGCTGTCATGATGCAAACCATGTGTAGAAGTGAATTATTTGAATTATGAAAATTCAAAATTCATTTATTAGAATTTCTTTCTCAAAGCATGCATTTCGCAAAAGTCACTAATATCTATTTAAAATACTGTGAAAACTAGAAAAGTTGTGTTTGAGAAAAACACTGGAATTTTACTCTAAAGCATGTCTTCATAATATCTGTGTTCAGGTTACATCGTGTTTGCGATCGGTTTTGCTGACGCTGATTACGGGGAGTTGGTGAGCATCGCCAGCAAACCCAGCGAAAGGCATGTGTTCTTTGTGGACGACCTGGATGCCTTTAAAAAGATCGAAGAGAAGCTCATCACTTTCGTGTGCGAAGCTGCTACAGCAAGTAAGTCTCAAAGTGAAATATACATGTCTGTGTGTGTGATTTGTAAGATGCATGTCTGAATTGACTCATTTGTATTGTATTTTTCAGCTTGTCCATCTGTACCGATGAGCGGCAGCACGCTGCCAGGTCAGTTACACTTTTGCACACTGAAAAAGCCTGAAGCTCATAAACACAATAGTTTAGCCATATTCTGTTATTATTTCATAATAACCTATACAGGTTTTAGCATGTGTGGCCCATATTCAGTGTTTTTAATGCACATGTTGTCTTGGTCTGCCTGTAATATTAACCTTCATATATAATGTTTTCAGACATTCCTGACTGATATTTATAGAAGGTTTTCATGTTTTCAGACATTCCTGACTGATATATATAGAAGGTCATCATTGATATCAGATTTTTTTTGATAAATGTTTATTAAAAATTCTACGCAATTAAACGTAGTGTTAACGTTTTTTAAGTATCTCTAAAATAGTAACTTTACAGGAGAAGGCAAAAACACTCCTACCTTTCTATGTAAGTCAATGTAAAGAGATTTTATTCCTAGTGATTTTAGAGTACTTCTATTGGTTCATTCATCTTGAAATTTTCACACGACATAAAGGACAACGGTGTTAAAATGATGCAGAAAACTAAAAATTGACAAAAATGGAGAATGGAAATGGTTTTCTGTGGACAGCGACGAAATATTTCACAGGTGTGATGTGGTTTTTGGCAAAATTAACCAGTTTTGTCTTGCATATTAAATACTATTAATTTATGTTGCAAATTCACATGCTCATTTATTAAAAATCATAAGAAAAGCTAGATTTCCCCCAACCTTTGATGTGCAGTGTAATAGTAAAATTCAATAGTTTTAACCAGTATTATATTAATGTGAGGTGCTGTTAATATCTAATGATGTACTCCTCCTTGTTTAACACACACACAGGCTTTAGGATGATGGAGATGTTTGGTCTGGTGGAGCACCTGTACAGTAATCTGGAGGGCATTTCAATGGAGCCAGGAACCTTCAACAGCTTCAACAGCTACAGACTAGCCAGTGATGCCCTACTTGCACAACCTACCAGGTACACACATGCACTAATACCGTCCATTAAAAGGTTGGCCCTGGTCATGCCACAGCCATTCATGTCCGGGAGTCCTCCTCATAATAGGCCTTACTCCCTCTGAGCGGGAAGCATTTGTCCTCCATTCCTTCCCGAGTCACTCTGTTTGAGATTAGAATTAGAATTAGAATTCAGAGCCATTGACCAATTGTGCAAAGTGAAACTGTCAGCTCAGAGAGTCGAACCGGGGACCTTCCAGTCTGGTTGGATCCCTGACTTCCAGCCCATAACAATGTGATTCTAGCCAACGTGGATGCCGGTAATGTAAAGGAACTGGCAGTTAGTGTTTTCCTCCAAGTGTATTGAACTGTCTAATGATGATGTGTTAATGGGAGCTTGAAAATATGCGGTGGTGCCCCTTGCGACTCAGAAGGAGCACATATCTTCACCCTCCAGGGTTCTAAGGTGCAATACTGACATTTGCTCCTTCTGTGCAGATTTTGTTAACAATGCGTACCGCTGACCTAGAGTGCTACTTTAAAGTTAGCCTGTTGGCTCATTATGCATGTCAAAAGAAGCCTAACTAACCTGCATAGCTGTCCACTTTTATGGTTTAGTTAAGAAGTGCTGATTTGCCGTAAGAATCATTTGCCCTTGCTGTGGTCTCATGGCAGTGAATGTAATTCTCATGGGTTAAAAAGTTTGTTTCACTGCATGCTGCGCAGTGGCATCACAGAAATAGCCAATACCGGGCTCAGCTGCATATTTGCAGTGCACTATTTAGTATGTCTCATTATATTAAAAACAACAGTGTTGATTTTGCACGCTGGCATTTAAACAGGCTACGAAAACATATGCTAAACAAAACAACCAGCTGCTAAACGGCCTAGGTCCTAATGTTGTTCAAGTGAACCTTAAGGGCCTGGACAGTGTACAATCAATGTAAAATCTCCGGGTTAATCTGATTGCTGGGTTAAACATGCTCACTGACTGAGAGAAGGGATAAAGAAGAAAAGGAAAAAATCATATTAAGTTTGTACTCATGTATTTTTCTGTGTGCTCCTGTTTATTACAAATGAGGAGCACCAGTGCTCCCTGGCTGAAAGCTGCCTACCCAGCTCGGTAGCATTGTGTGATAAAAGAAGACCTAGCAGGTGACTACACTGGGAATACATCGGGTAAAAAAAAATATGGTTACACCTTTTCAGTTTTGCAAGTACTGTTTGATTTTTTACTGTTTCTTTTCAGTTAAGCAAGAATGAATTCCTGCCAAAGTTTGCAGGGACATTAAACACCTATTCCTAATCCTTATCTATCGCTTAACCTTTGTCATTTGAGTATATTTAGCATCAGCACTCAGCGCCATGTACATCAGTGTTCTCTTGCTTGGTATCAAGAGGAGGTTGTGATAGTTTTCTTTTCTAAACTATCTTTAAAAGCACATATCAAAAACTCTTTTGGCCTGAAGGTGGTTTTAACGCCTGTGAAGGTTCAAAACAAGCTGCCGTTGGCTTATAAACAGTATCTAATGGAGATTCAACCTACAATTACAGAGCTTTCCAACTCTTACTGCTCCAGTTAACATCTCCACCTGCCTTTTGTGCGGAAGCTGCAGTGTATGCTGTAAAGTCACAGGGTAATAAGTCACAGGGAATGCACATGGTCTGGGTAAAAGCACAGGTTGGTGAGGTAGGCTGCTCTGTGAAGAGGAATAATCCCTTGCACAACCTTCTAGTAAGGTTAAGGTCAACTGAACTCCACTGGACTCCAGCTCAGGGTGGTCCAACACCTTACTAAGACACTATGTTGTTTTTTTCTTTAATGTGTCACCCACTCAACCTCACTTCCACTCGCTTAGCCACTTACACACTCACCTTATTCCCTGATTAGTGAATTAGATACACTTTATTAGATACATTTTATTAATCCCTGAAGGGAAATTCAGTTATTCCAACATAGCAATGACTTCAGTATATACAATATGTTAAATAAAATTGTCTGTTATCACATTAGATGTTTAATAGACACAGTACTTAGAGGTATTTACAAATGTGGTCTTATAACATATGTATAACATACTGGACTGCAGCATTTTTAGCAAGCCTGGCAATGACAGCAGGGAAAAATATTAATGACATCAAACATTCGCATTATAAATGTGAATGGCTGTCTAAAATGTTCAGTGTTATATGTTAGACTGATAAACCATTGACTAAAGGTGCTCCTACAATGTTCCAGTGTGCTATATAATGGTTGCCTGACATTGGCAAGAATTAACTCCAGTCTATCCATCATTCCCTTCTCTGTCAGGAGAGTCCAGGCATTGCCTCACCACAGACAGCTTTTCTGAGAGTTTTTTTGAATTGTTTTTTCATGCTCCCACACCAGCGTGAGGAACATATAAAAAAGATCCAGAATCCAGAGAAAAGCTAAAGATGTTTTCAGAAAAATGTTACTCACAGTTTGGAGGGTGTGTTTAGATGTGTCTTTTGTTCTGACTCTCATGGTGACCTTTTGACCCTAGGTATATCCACCCTGAGGGTCTGCCATCTGACTACACCATCACCATGTTGTTCCGCCTGCTGCCCGAAACCCCACAGGAGCCCTTTGCGTTGTGGGAGATTCTCAACAGCAGAAATGAACCCTTAGTGGGAGTCATTCTGGACAGTGAGTAGAAGGACCTCTGAACTGGTAATACAGATGCAACTGTAACTGGCGTAACTACAGACTTCTTATTTATTTCTGAAAACAAGTAAATACATCAGAGATGTGAGAGAGATTGTGTTACAGTGATTGTACCACAGTTACGGGTTGGTGTAAAAACAAGTGGAGTAAAAACCCCTTAACTGTTCTAAATGCATGGTCCCCTGTGGCTTATTGCTCTTATAAAAGAGCTACAAAATACAATATGATCAAATACACTAATGTTCAATAAATAATTGAATGTTTTCTTAAATATTATTAATATTAAAACATTATTAATAAAAGCGAAAAGAAATGTAGTTTGTTAACAGTAGGCTATGGTTGCCAAGCAACATTCCATGTGTACATTTGTGCATTACTGAGGAATTCAGTTGATGTGTACAGGCCTGTGTGTGTACACTGAGTATTTCAGAACGTGGCTCAGCCAATCAGATTTTAGAAACTATTATATGTGTGTTATTAGACTTAATACAACAGCGCAACGCAAGCTGATTGGTTGAGAAGCGTTCTAACTATGCTGTTATTTCACCATAACATCACAGGTTTTTCCATAAACAGATGCCGTTGCTAAGCAGAAAATGGACACTTTTAAGATCACATTTGACCGACAGCCGATTTGGTCCGACTCTGAAGATGAGACTACACTAAATTCCCAAACTGTCAGTTGTTCTGTGTGGAGCTGGAGAACGAACTGCCGGCTGTGCAGCGAGTGAGCGGAGCTCGTTACTCTGACGTAGCAGCAAGCTGCTCGTTAAGGAACTATAATTTGGCGGAAGGACTTGCTGACATTAAAACATATTAAACACCACGTTCACTGCCCAGTTTATTAATTTATTACTTTATTTATTTAACTGTTGTATAAAAGCAATAGAACACTCAAGGTCATGTGTTATCATGTATAACTTCACGGCTGTGATGTTCTACAGTGACCAAATCACAGCCGTGATGTTATTTTGCGATAACACACTTCCTCTCATGTTCTGTTGCTTGAATACCACACATAGTTCTGATCTTGTGATTGACTGCAAGACATTTCATATGAGGCAATATTGGCACTCTCACCATGTTTGTAAAGTGTAACAACCTTAACGATGGGTGGAGGAAAGACGCCGGGGGCAGGTGTGAAGACGGAGAGCTTTCTTTTATTATTATTCATACACAACGCAAAACACTCAGCTTTTCAGCCCACAGAGTAAGACAAGACGCTTGCTGGGACTTTTCAGTCCTTTCTTTTCGTTCTTTCTGGTTCAGCTCAGCTCAGTTCAACTCAGCTCAGCTCAGCTCAGCTCTCATGCCTTCATAGGTCTCCTTCTCTCTCTGGGCTCTGCCACCTACTGAAGGAAGAGATTGCCTATAAGTAGGCTGGCAGAAACAAGGCACAGGTGAACATTATCAGCTACTTAGCCCGCTGGATCAGCCAGACCAGCTTCTCCATCCCGCATTCAATGCTCAGCCACGCCCCCTTCTCCACATAAAGTTTCCTTAAGTATCACTTTGATTTATGTATCTCTTCATATAAAACAGTTTTTAATTGTGAAATGAGTGTGGATCATTCTACTAAATTGAAGTCAGCTCTTTAAACACATTTCAAACTTTTAACTTAACTTTGATTAATGATTGAACATTCCTAACAAAACAGTCATAACGCTACTTGAACTTCACCATGTTTCAGCAGTGGCTGTTTCTGTAGTGAGAGTTTTAGCTAATTTTGAGCAGAACTCAAAAACGATAGCCAGTACATGACTAGCAAACACAGCTTTGAACAGCTGTACATACATAAAATCATAATATTTTTATTAAAACACAAAAAGGTTTCTGCTAAATGTTAGAAAATATGTGTTTCGGTAGTGGTAGATCTTAATGCTACACACTGATTTTCAGACTTTGAGACACATTTACACCAAAAAAAGGATTTCACTTCCTTCTCTAAAATACAGGGTCATAGCTAAAATAAAGCTCTGTCTATGGACTAAAACTTTTTGTGTTATGGTAATGACATGAAAACATGGGGCAGCATTTTTTTAATAGTTTTTTTTGTTTATTTAAAAATTAAAGTCATGATAAATCTAAATCTTTCAACTTTAAAAGAAAGCAAAAACATTTAAGATTTTTAAAAATGTAAGTTTTTTTTTCACAATAGCTTAAATAGATCATAACATAATTTATGTAAATATCTAAGGTCTGAATACCCAATAGTTTTTTTTCTTTTTTCACAGTGGAACCTCAGTTTGAACTATTTTGGTAAAATGGTTCATATAAACTTTCTTGTTAATTCAGTAATTCTTCATCTTTTTCTGTCTTAAAAGCTTTTGCATCGACGGCTGTAGTGCACAAAGTGTATAACTGCATAATTATTCCGTAACTAATATAAATGACTCAATAACTGATGAAACTAAAATGTAAAAAATTGAAGTGGAGGGCCCCCGTATGGGCCCTTGCAGTTCAAGGGTTTAAACTCTCTTTCTCTCTTTTTCTCTGTAGATGCAGGAAAGACACTGACGTTCTTCAATAATGACTATAAAGGTGATTTTCAGACAGTAACATTCGAGGGCCCTGAGATTAAGAAACTTTTCTATGGCAGCTTCCACAAGGTCAGTGCTCACACACCCCCGCACTCGCAGTGTTTCAGCGATTCTCACACGATTATTTTGCTTATCTAATGCCATCTGTTTTCCACCTGAAAGCATCTTTTTGCCAAATGCTCTTTTCACTTGACTCTCTTCTCTCTGTGAACTCTAAACCTGAAGCTCAGCACTTTCGGCTAGTTTGCCCAGCTTCAAACACAATTTTCAAAACCTTATAACCTCATTCAGTGTAATTTTATTACCAAATAATGATGAATGCAGCAACAGAATGAGCTGATCTCTGAGTACCACTGCCAGATTCTGCTCTCCAGCATTTGTTAGAGGAACTAGCTCCAAAACTCTGCACATGAACTGCCAACATAGAGAGCTGTTGTCATAGTAATTCACTCAGTCTTTCATTTTGCAATGACCAAATAAATGTCAGTCAGATATGTTTTATTGGCCCAAGTAGCATCTATGTGTACTTATCCAAGACTAGTTTTGTGTGAAACTCTACTGTGTGTGTGAATGTGCTTCTAACAGCTGACTCAAAATCAGCCTAAAGGTAGCATCCAGCAGCCTTTCCCTCAAAATATAAGCTATACAAAGCACAGTATTATATACTGCTGAGCCAGTAGTCTGTGAGAGAGGTGGGGGTAAGTGTCCATTTCTGGACCCAATTCCTCTGTAATACCCATCTTCAGTGTTTTGATGATGGATTTATTGTAGGTTTTCTGCTGAAGTGCCGCTGCTGCAGGTTGTAGCTGCCTGGGCTTGTTAAAGCGAGGACTGATTGGCAGGATACAGATCGGCCTGTATGAAATCACACAGCAGATACGCTCACTCCCACTGTGGAGACAGTAAAGCTGCGAAAGGAGGGAACGACTCTGACAGAGCACAAACTGTGCATTTACACTTGAAATGAACCTCACTGAGGAAAAGAAAACAGGACTTTAGGATTTATTTGCACCAAGCCACAATATTAGCGGCACACTAAAATAAAAAATGTTGATCCAAACTGAAAACTCAAACCAAATAGTGCTGAATTGTATGAAGTTTTAGCCCCTGATCCTAATTCTCTTTACTACTTAAATAATTTGTGAAGCATTACACTCTCAAACTCAGTTGAAGGGCTTAACAAAAATAAAAACATTAGGTCAAAATGTTCTGCTTTACATCTTTTGGATAAAAACTGAAAGTGTAAAATTCCCAAAAATGTTGGGGTAGGCCCCATAGGTCAGACACAAGGCCAGGCCAGATCAAGCCCTCAGCACAATCCTATCCGGCCCATGAAAGTGTTTTAACTTCTCATTAATATTAGCCCATTTCACAAGGCTCTGCACTGCAATTCCCAGCATGCATTGCATCACAATTTGTGCTCCCACCCCCTCTCCCAACGACAATGTATAGGCCAGCGGATACACCACAATTCATATCAACAAACACACTAGCTGTGTTTCAGCTGCAGTTCAACCAACATAAACACTCAGCTCAGCAGCTCAGAAATTGATCCAAAGAATTAATGAACTTGCAGCAAAGAAAAGATGTCATGTGTTTAGATCAAGCAAATGGGTAGGTTTAAAAGACTGAGCTCTTAGAGATATTTAAAGAGGTTTAACAGTTAACTGTAGCTAATGTAGCCTGGTGTTTTGTGTATAACATGAATATATTGTTTAATACATGACATTTAATGAATTGAAACAAACATAGGCGTTCTCTGGCCCACGGATTTGTTGACATGTTTTAATATGGCTCTTTTAGTGGTTGAATTTGACACCCCTGGTTTAGGCAGATGAAATTTCATTGCATACCTATTTTGCGTTTACTTGCTGCTGGTCACTTGATCTTCAGCTATGTGTTGCAATAATAAGTGCTGAAGCAGTTTCCCACCTCACTGACAGCTTTCACTGTGATCCAGCTGCCCTTGAATAGTGTTATTTATACTTCATTATGTACTATTACAGGCCTTACCTATAAGTTGTTCTGCTTAGTCTTGTTACACAGTAAAATGTTCATCTTCAGGACGTTAATGGAGTTTCTGTGTGTATTTTGTGTGTGTAGCTGCATATAGCGGTAAGTAAGACGCTGGCACAGGTGATGGTGGATTGTAATCTGGCTGGAGAAAAGCCCATAAATGCCGCTGGCAACATCACCACTGATGGACTGGAGGTCTTGGGCAGGATGGTCCGCTCCAGAGGGGCCAAGGACAACTCCGCACCGGTATGCTGTACGGCTGACCATGTGTGTGTGTGTGTGTGTGTCTGCTTATACTTCATATCTGGAGAATTAGTTTAGCTGGGGGCTGATTTTTTTAACCAATTAACGTCCATATCTATCTAAAATATTACTTTTGATTTGGTCCATGTGTTCTCTGAGTTTGCCTGAGCACAAATGTGATACTTAAAAAAAATACATGAATAAAAAGTTAGTTAATATTGCCTAATAACTTTTCATATTAAATCTATTTATTTGGTTACTCAAGACTTTTTTTTGATTGAGAATAAATATAAGAAAATTGCACATAATCAAAATGCTTATCCAAAGTATAACCACACAAAATGTCATCACTTTAGACCAGATCTGTCAAAGTTATGTCTTCGGCCAAAGTACGGCAGAGTTTATGGCCCTTTTGCTTAGTGTGCTAAACTTAGATGTTGGGCTCATTTTTAAATGTATGGGTTTAGACTGTAAAGGCAGATAAATATACCTTTATAAACAGAATGTATTCAGGCTTATGGACCTACAGCCTCAGGAAGTTCAATGTTTGTGTTTGTGTGTGTAGTTTCAGCTGCAGTCATTTGATATTGTGTGTAGTACATCGTGGGCTCGGCGAGACAAGTGCTGCGATCTTCCCAGTCTGGTGAGCTCATTACCTGCACTGTTTCTACTACTGTAATACACTAGTTTTGCAAAGTAAAGCAAAGAAGCCCTGAAAAGTGTTTCAAATATATGTTTTATATCAACCAAAAAAAGTTCCAGCTGCTTAGAATAAAGCAACCATTATAATTACTTGACAACCAAATGTCAGCATGATACCATAATGGTGAAACAGAGATGTTATCAGAATAAGCAGTAGATGGTCAGGTCAGGTTGGGTGGTCTCAATTAATTTTATGCTGATCTGTGTCTGTTGTTCTTAAACTGCTGCTGTTGTTACTCATGTGCTTGTTTACTCTAGAGAAAGGAGGCAGACTGCCCCGCTCTGCCTCGGGCCTGCACCTGCACTCAGGACAGCAAAGGCCCTCCTGGTCCCCCAGGACCACAGGTATGTACCTGACCACAATGTCCACTCTGTTAAATACAAACACTGCTGATACGGTAATAAAACACTCACTAATTCTCCCTGAGGAAAGCATGTTTTTCTCCACTGTGAAAATCACCTCATATTCACTTACATTCAGCTCCACTTTACCCAAAGAAGTCCTGAGTCATAGTATCTAATAATATAATATCTCCTCTTTTATTTGCTACTCAAAATCTGCACTTGTAGACCGAATAAAACATACTTTTGTTATTACCAGTGATAACTAAGTAACCAAGTTTTAAAGCGATACATCCATTGGGCCTCACTGACTGACCTTTCTTAAGAAGAAATTTTGTTCCACAGATGTTGTAGAAGAGTTTAAACACCCTGAATCAGGTGTATCTTATTCAAACACCGTTGGATTCAGCAATAACTTGTGTGTGTGTGTGTGTGCACTCAACAGGGAGGTGCTGGTATCAGAGGGGCAAAAGGAGATCGTGGCGAGCCTGGGCCTGTGGTACAGTTTTACCCACAATCCTACTACACTGTACCAAATACATGATATTGTGGATTCATGGTTATGATGTTGTATGTTTGTTGTATGCATTGTAGGGGCCAGTTGGTCCAATGGGAGATGCTGGAATACCAGGACCTCAGGGCCCTCCTGGCCCCCAGGGGCCCAGCGGACGATCTATCAGAGGCCCACCGGTAACATACATGCAGCAAACAAACACACACACGCTCTTATATATATATATATATATATATATATAGAGAGAGAGAGAGAGAGAGATATAGAGAGAGAGAGAGAGAGAGAGAGATAGTTAGATAGATAGAGAAAATTAAGTACATAGCCATGAAATCTCCATAGACAAACACTGCCAGTAGAATGGGTCATACTGAAGAGCTCAATGACCTGAGCTCTTCAGTATGACCCATTCTACTGCCAGTGTCATAGGATGCTACCTCTGCCACAAGTCAGTTTGTGAAGTTTCTACCCCTTTAGATCTGCCCTGGTCAACTGTAAGTGCTATTGTTGTTAAATAGAAATGTCCAGGAGCAACAACAGCTCAACTACGAAGCCATTCAAGCCCACGAAGCATGGCCAACAAGTGCTGTAGTACTTACACATAAAAACGCCTTCCCGCTGTTGCATCCCTCACTACAGAGTTCCAGACTGCCTCTGGAAGCAACATCAGGGAGCTGAAATGGGTTCCTGTGACAAGTCAGACGCACAAGCCTAAGATCACTATGCATAATGCCAAGCGTCGGCTGGAGTGGTGTAAAGCACACCGCCACTAGACTCTGGAGCAGTGGAAATATTTTTTTTCTGGAGTGATGAGTCACGCTTCACTATCTGGCAGACTAATAGAAGAATCTGGGTTTGGCAGATGCCAGGAGAACTCCACCCTGTGCACAAAGCAAGGTCCATAAAAATGAGTTTGGTTAGGAGAAACAGTCCACTGAACACCTTTGGGATGAACCGGAACTTTAAATGTAAGCCAGACTTTCTCGTCCAACATCAGTGCCTGAGATCACAAGCACTGTCTTGACTGAATGGGCAGAAATTCCCTCAGACACACCTCAAAATCTTGGGGAAAGCCTTCATAGAAGAGTGGAGGCTGTTATAGCTGCAAAGGGGGGCCAGCTCTATGTGAAGGCCCATGGTTTTCAAAAGGGGGGGCCAACAAGCTCATATGGACATACATTTGGCCATATTGTGATTATAAGTAGCTTAAGACCAATGCTGTCTTACATGTGTGTGTGTGTGTGTGTGTTTGTGTGTGGGAGTGGGAGGTCTCAGTGTCCTAATGCCCCTCATATGTCTCCACACTGCTGTAAATGGATGATATATGATACAGTAATGTAATGATAGGTTATGCTGTCTCACTGACGTGCTGACAGATGCCAGTAGGTCAGAACACTTTTCTTACCTTGTAAATGATTTACAGGTGAATAAGTTGCACAATTATTGGCTTTATATATAGTAGCTGTATATGAAAATGGATTGATATGTGTTTATTGAAATCAGCACACGGTCATGTTTAATATGAGAATGATAGTTAATATGAGAATGGTGCACCGTGGTTAACAAATGTGCATGTGTGTTTAGGGTGGCCCAGGTGAGAGAGGGGAGAAAGGTGAAGCAGGAGCTCGAGGGCCTCAGGTAAACTCATCACACCTGAGTTTCCACCCTTTCTGTCAGTGTGTGGTCTACGTCTTAGTCAAACAAGTATGATTCATCTAAAATCCAATGTCACATATGTAAAATCTGAATTTGCACCAGATTTATGAAAATTGTGGCCATTACACCAAAGATTACACAGTTCTGCTAATTTATGTAACCAGATATAATCCAGTAAGTACCCATACCAGGGGTCTCCTGGGGCCTCCGGGGCTGCATGCGGCTCTTTTGCTGCCCTGTTGCGGCTCCACAACAGAATTAGATTTTTAGGTAAAATTAAAATATTCCTCCTTTGCAGTAAAACAAAGCTCTTCTAACACTATTTTAACAATAAATGGTCTTAAACGCTGGAGTTAATCTAGAACTGCTAATTCACTCTATAACTGTGAAGGTTGGTGCGCAAGACTGCTGGTCACCATAGCAGCACAGACAACAGTCTTGCCTAGCTAGTAGCTAACGAAACGGCAAAGGGAACGATTTAAGATGAACATCGATAATTTGGAGACAAATGGACTTATTTGCATTTATAAACACTCCAGCTGGTTTCCTGATAAGTTTAATCTGCAACAAGAAACTGTCAAACACTAAAAATCATGAAGCTGAAGTCACTTTCTTAATCGAAAAATAATGCTATTTAAGGTGGAATGGGAAAATTCGAACAAGAAGCTGTCAAATGTGAAGCTGACTTCAGCCTCATAAAAAATGTAATGTTGAGAGACAATGTACAAGAAACTACTCCAACTATGCCAGAGATGTGAGAAAAGCAGCCATAGCTGAGTTAAAGCTTAAAGCAGAGCAAAGTGAGTCTGCGTTTTTATTTATATTATATTTTTAGCTTATATTATACATTAGTTACACATTAGTCATATTACACTTATACTATCACATTCTCCCTCCTGATGTGCAAAATATGGCTACGACTGTGGAGAGTTTATTATCACCAGACTGGGTTTCATTGTGCGTATTCACTCTTCTGTCATTATGTTTTCTCTCTGCAGGGAGTTCCAGGAACACCGGGGTCTCCAGGACGGGAGGGCCCTCCAGGACCCAGGGTAACATTTCTGTTCCTGATTGAGTGATAGAGTCGTTTGCTTATTTGACCATTTGACCATTTGCAAGCCTACTACCTCACTTAGCAATGTCTGTCAAACTTTCTGCTCAGCACAGACCAGCTAGCACCATAGAGTCACCTGGTAGCATCCAAAGACTGTACGTTCAGATGAGCTAATGCTAAAGTTAAGATTAATGTTAATCCTAGAGTTAGTGCAGTGCAGTGTGATACACTGAGGAGTACTTATCATCTTGTTCACAAGGTCCTTCAGTAATCCTCAGCGTTAGCAATGCAAAGGATAGCATGCATGCAAGTGCACTAATACTGATTTTTGCACAGAATGGTTTATTTTTGGGATTTTTCCCCAATTTTCTCCTTAGCTTAGTCATGTCCAATTCCATCCATTAGTTAGGACTCCCTTAGTCACACGATACCACCAGTGCTAAGAGGGCGAAGGCCAACACAAGATTCCTCCAAGACATCATGATCATGATAGCATGTGTTTGAATTTAATGTTCCTCAGCAACACCATTTAACCACCTCTTAGTCTAATCATTCTGATTCATTTGCTGCCAGCGCTGTTCTCATTCCAGGTTTGTCCTGAGAAGTTTTGCTAAAGTTTCACCTTCGCTTGGCAGTGCTTAGAGACGGTTGCTAAGCAGTGATTGACTGAGAGTTGTGCCATTCAATAATTTAGAAATAGTCAGTAGCGTTAGCCTTGTGGTTTGGCCGCCAACAATTAGTGTGCTCTGCTCCACAGGGTTTGCTGGGCAAAGACGGACCCCAGGGCAGAGTGGGTCCCCCAGGAAGTATTGTGAGTACACACGCACACACAGTCAACTTTGTCCCCTCCTCCTTCTCCTCCTGTTGGCCTATTGATTGCCAGCTCAGCCTGGTTTCTTCCCAATTATTATCTCCACCTGCTTCATGGACTCATTTGTCATCGGTGTTGAATATCTGGTCATGATACAGCGTTACCATGACGTTATGGAGTATATGACCAGTAGGATATTATAGAAGAACAAGAGATATTAAAAAACATTTGATTAGTTGATTAATGGCAAAATGGTGCAACTGTAAACAATATTTATGAATATGAAAAAATTGCTGCTTCTGTACTTTTGGCCTGTAATGTGCGTATTATTGGAGTACCATGAAGTAGTTCTCAGGCTGCAACTTACTGATTTCTGTTCTTTCTTTCATCTGTGTCACTCATAGCTTTACTATTCGACCCATTGCTTGTCCAGGCTTGTCTAATCTCTTCAAAAGTAACCACTAACCATTCTTAATGTGGGCTATTCACATGGTCTTCTTCTGTATCATCCTGCAATCCTTTTTCTTTTATCCCGCACTCATCTCATAAATAAACACTGATTCAACTGCTCCTTGCTTTCTCAAGCTGGAAGGCAGTGGTATCTGCTATTACAGCAGCTCTCTGTTCTTTGTAGGGAGGTCCAGGGGCTCCTGGAGCACCAGGCCAGAATGGCCCTCCTGGACCCATCGGAGAGCAGGGACCTCCGGTAAGTCCACAGTAGAATATAAACTTCGACTGTTCGTGTGTGTGTCTGTGTGTGTGCACATTAACTATCGAACTTGGTAAAATAGCAGCCCTTAAACTGTGGGATGGCATAGTGGCCGTTGCCTGTATAACTGCTTAATCTGTAACGTTGAGGCAGGTTTTTATATTTTCTCTTTAAATAAAATCAGTTTGTGTCTAATACACAGCGTATGCACTTAGCCATGTTGCTCTGATGTATGCTAATACTTGAGCTTAGTGCCATGTTATGTCACATATCTTGTCATGGCTGAACAGAATAGGTGTTAAAGTCCCAGGGAACAGAGTAAAGTACTAAAATTATTTGTATGAAACTAAAAGTATTTTCATTTAAACATCTAGCAAGTTTGAAAACAAAGCCATGATAGAAATATAAGGGCAGGGGTCAGCAAATGTTGAGAATAGCCATTTTGTCCTTTCAACAAAAATCAAACCACCTTGGGAGCCACAACATTTTATGTCCATTTTACCATCTTTGCTGTAAATATGTCGCAGTATGTGTTAATGCACTAGTATAGGCTAAAAATGTAGTCTAAACGAAAATGCAGACTGACTTTGCTCTACTTTCAGATTTAGTTTAGCTGTAGCTGCTTTTCTTGCATCTGTAGAATAGTTTCTTTTAAAATGTCTCTCAACGTTCGACTTTTCACGAGGCTGAAGACGCTTCTCATTGTCCAGCTTCTTGTTTGAATTTTCCCGTCCCACTTTAAATGGTTCCTGAGGTCCCAGAACGTAGCTGTGGCACCATTTAAGGCGGAATGGGAAAATTCAGCTGAATTCAGCCTTGTGTCTTTTTAGTGTTTGACAGTTTCTGGTTACAGATTAAACGATGAATCAGGAAACCAGATGGAGTGCCTCTAATAGCAAATAAGTCAGTGTGTCTCTAAATCATGGACATTCGTCTTACATCTCTCTCTTTGTCTTTTCGTTAGCTACTAGCAATGCAAGATAATTGGCTGCGTTGCTGTGTGACCAGCAGTCTGCGTGCCGATCTTCAGGGTTAATATTTGGTGAATTAGCAGATTTAGGCTACATTAACTCCAGCATTTAGGACCATTTAGTGTTAAAATGTGTTAGAAGGATCAGCAGAGCTTTATTTTACTAAGTAAACGAGGATTATTGTATTTTTAAAAATCCAGTATTGCTGTGGAGATGCAATAGGGCAGTAAAAGTGCCGCATGTGGTTTCAGAGCCACAGGTTGCTGACCCATGCCATAGGGTAAGAAGTTGTGTTAAGGCTGTATGGTATGAGATAACCCATGTCCTTGAGATTGGTGAGGGTACTGTTTACATACGAGTGACCCAAGATTAGGACTGTCCAGTTCACATCAAGAGGAGAATCATGGCGAAGTACATCTGGTATTTATTGGGCATAGGACGTTATTCATAGGACATGCTTGGTATATTTATATTGTTCGCCCACAAGAGCAAGATTAACCTACTTAGAAAGAAAACACAGATTTAGGTTCCCTGGGGCTTTAAGAGTGCTGAAGCCAGCTGCAGTACGTCAGACGCACCTCTTGAGAAATGATAATTATACATTTTTGTAATTCCTATGGGGTGACAACTTGTAGGTGGCACCTGGCTGCTTTGGATTCACCAAGAGTGGCACCTCATTAAAAAAAGTTCTAGATTACTGTGTTAACATATCCAAACCAACCACTACTTTAAAACAAAATGATATCAACTATCCCATCACATATTCTATGAACTGTTATGGTTGAGAGATGAAAGTCAGAGCCTGAGGCTGTGTTACAGAAATGTTATCTGTTTTGTTACCATGACTGTTTTAATAAAACTACAGAATAAGGTCTCTAAGTTCATTATTTTATCCTAAATTGATAAAAAATCCTAATTAGGACACCATCTGTAAGTGTGTCTTAGCTTCTGTTTTAAGATGCTGTTTCTACACTCTCAGAAAAAAAAGGTAGTAAACTATCACTGGAGCAGTACTCCTCTTGTCACTGGGTTGGTACCCTCAAGGGTACATCTCAGTACCTTTGGTCAGGGAAGATAGTGGTACCATAATCCACTGAAATTATATTTTCTAAGCTGTATTGACTCCACACACCCCGTCTCGTCTCCAGGCTTTTTATTTTACTGTTCTGTTTTAAAACATTAGGTTATGAAAAGATACAAATACTAACTTTTCACATGGACAAACTTATTTAAGATACACAATTTGACCTTTAAACCACTGTTGTACCTTTGAGGGAACATTTACACTGTTTGTACCTTGAAGAATGAAAAATGTATCCTATTAAAAGGGACGCTTTGACAGGTAGAGCAAGTTCACTAGCCTTAAATAACATAATATTTCATTGCCTTTACTCCTATTGCAGAACATGTTAATGTTAAAAAACCTGTTGAATTTAACCTGTTAAAATATTGCAGTGATGGTGGTGAATAATGAGGGAACTGAGTTGAACACGCCTGTTTATTAGGGGAAATAGCTCGGTATGTGAGCAGACGAAAGCAGACTACTTGATCTTGGCACTGAAAAACGAAAACAGTATTCATAGTTTTTTTTTTTAACATACGCTGTTAGAAATAAAGGTTCTGTGCAGGTACATTTTTCGTTCATCAAGGTACAAACAGTGTAAGTGTTCCCTCAAAGGTACAACAGTGGTTTTAGGCTTTTCCAGGTGAAAAGTACATATTTGTACCTTTTCATAATCTAATGTTTTAAAACAGAGCAATAAAGTAAAAGCCTGGAGACGAGACGGGGTGTGTGGAGTCAGTACAACTGAGAAAATATAATTTCAGTAGATTTTGGTACAATTATGTTCCCTGACTAAAGGTACTGAGATGTACCCAGTGACAAGAGAGGCACTGCCCCAGTGACAGTATAGTACCTGTTTCTCAGAGAGCGTAGGTTGCTAAAACTTCCTCTTTATTGTACTTCATTTTGTTTTTCTATATTTTTATGGTAGCTGACTAGCTAACGCTGAAATTTACATTATTATAGTTGTGCTTGTTTCTCTGCTATGAACGTATCATCGAAATAATTCAAAATTAAGATATTACAGATTTTCTTCAGTAATATGAATTTGTGAAAAGCCTTGTCATAAACGTGTCAGATCTTAACTTAGGACTATAGGTAGGAAGTTTCTGTAATATGGCCCCAGGTGTCCCAGAACTTTCATAACACAATAAATCATACTTAACTGCTACAGTAAGAACCACTCTCTGCTTTACAGCTCTATCATATACTGATCTATATAGGTTTAGGAAACTTTGTGCCTCATTCGCCAAGATCTTCCTAAGTTATTTTTTAAATTCATTCTTCAGAAAGGTCCTAAGGAAAAGTCTATGACATGTTCTTAAACTGCAGAAGTGTCCACACCTTACAAACTCCATATAAGACAACACTGGTGAATATGAATTTTCTTAAAAACTGCATCAGTGGGTTTTGCAAAGTTTTAAGAAGTTTTTACTAGTTTGCGCTGTAAACTGCTATGTTCTTCCACAAACCGGTTGGACTGTATTGCCATTTAAACACCATAAAAGCACAGACTTTGTGTAGTGTAATGGTCCTCAGTCCCACTGCTGGAAACACCATGCACTGCACATGCTCTAATACACATCAGAGATCTGCAGAGGCATGAAATCGAGGCCTGAACCCGACTTGCAGCTGCTACTTTCAGACTCGACCATTCCCGACAGGTAGTTATACATATGAAAACCCATCCCCCCTCGCATTGCTGCGGAGCTACTACGTTAACGGTCAATGTATCGCTGTGCCAGTCTTCCTGCGTTCATTGCCCCAAATGCTATTGCAAGTTCTTTGTGACCAGAGTGCTCTTTCTCTGATAGACTGGCCAAAATAATGTTTCTGCAGTGAAGCCGTCGTTCTCATTTGGAATTTTAAACAGTTCTCGTCTAGCAAGCTTTCTCTTTATTCGTCCATGGCAAACAATTAGCAACACCATAAGCTAGTTCTAGACTATACAACAGAAAGAGTGCGTGCGAGAAAAGATTGTGTGAAAAAGTGTCAAATTGGCATATTTCTTCAAATAAAGACAAATCTCCAATATGAAAAAACCTTCATTACACTTTCAGAAATAAAGGTATGAAACTGTCACTGGGGCAGTACCCCTCTTGTCACTGGGTTAGTCAGGGAACATAATTGTACCATAATGCAATAAAATGATTTCTAAGTTGACTCCACACACCCCGTCTCGTCTTCAGGCTTTTTAATTTATTGTTCTGTTTTAAAACATTTGGTTATGAAAAGGTAGGAATATGTACTTTTCACCTGGAAAAACTTATTTAAGGTTCACAACTGGACTTTAAAACCACTGTTGTACCTCTGAGGGAACATTTACATTGTTTGTACCTCAATGAACAAAAAATGTACCTGCATAGACCCTTTATTTCTAATAGTGTAGAAAACATACTCAAGGCCGACCTGATCGAGATGTTGTAGGCCTGAAATTGGCCTAAATTCCAATTATTTTGCTCGGTTCCGTCAGGCTCGAATCAGGCAGCAGACCTCTAATACACACTAAAAGTGCAAGGATTTTTTATTAACAGGATTTTGTCTGTAACTCTAATTCACACACTAACTGATGTTTCAAATGGGTCTGTCTTAGGGCCCTGCAGGCTCCAAAGGGGAGAAAGGAGAACGGGTAAGTGTGCTCATCTTTCCTCTCATGCACATTATAAATTCTCTTTTCTGTGAACCTCTTTGACAAGCATTTACAGTTCATTGTGTTAACAGTACCACAGATTGAAAGGTTGATCTGCACAGAGACATGCAAAGCAGAGATGAGTCGTACATGACTCATCACAGCTGTATTCATTTGTCTCTGTACGCTTGTGTGTGTATGTGCGGCTGTGTGTGTGCTGACCTGTGCATGCTGCGGGTAAAGATGATTTCTGGCTTGACTCTAGAGCTCCATCATTATAGTGATTATTGTAGCATCCTGACTCATAGCCTGTATATGTGTTGTATACCAAAATCCAAGGCCAATCCCATTTCACCTCCTGCCCCTACCACCACTTAGCCCTTACCCCTCTGTTTTGCGTGTTCATGCCAAGGGGTAGGGTGTCCTGATTCTTGTTGAGATAGAGGGTTAGGGCGAAGTGTTAGGGCTACATGGCCATCCAAATAGAGCTGTTTTAGAGGCCCACTCCAAATGGAGTGTAATGAGAAAGAAAAACCAGGAAGATGGCTGCACAAGAGACCAAAGAACCCCACAAATGTGAATATTTCCTATACCCTGACCTTTGGATTGTCTTAGTTTAATGTCGTTTCAATGTATTTTGGTCCTTTTCTTCATAGCAAACATTAGAAAATCACTCATAGTATGCTAATGGCTCGGTAGCTAGCTAGCTAAACTTTCCGTTCTACCTTAAATAGTGAGCAGTACTGATGCCTCAGGCGCAAGAATGTAACTTCTGCTCCATTTAAGGTGGAACGGGAAAATTCAAATGAGTAGCTGGCGAATAGCCGATTTCAGCTTCATATCACTGAAGAATTAGGGGTGGGCGTATAATACCATATGATGCCCTAAATGTAACTAAAGCCCAGCAGCAAGGTTGTTGACCTGTACCCTTCTCTGCTATCACTGCAGACTGGCAGGGTCGCCTACAGCACCGCTAGTAGTCTTTTAATAAAGTAATGTTCTTTTTTATTTGAGTGTTCTTCCATTTGATACCCGAAAATTTCAACCACTACCGCTTGTAACTAATTTCCAAAGGGCAAGGGGCAAAAATAAGAAATGGGATTGGGCCCAATTCGTGTCAGTACAGTGGAGGATTGCACTATACGTCTGAGCTACACCTGTCAGAACATGTGTGTGTATGTTCTACAGGGGGATATACAGTCTACTTCCTCGGTCCAAGCCATCGCCAGACAAGTCTGTGAACAGCTCATACAGAGTGAGTCTACAGCACTGATGAGACGTATAGTTGGAATTAAATAGGAATCTTGAATTCTTTTGTCATTTTTCAGGTAAGTCTCTGACCGCAGAGATTGTTGGGACACAAGCAGGTGTTGAAAAAAAAATACAACTTCTAAGCAGCACTCTGAGTGGAAATATTTCACTTGAAATGATGGGAAAATTGTACACTGCAGGTTATTCTGTAGGCCATCTTGTTATATGTTAACGCACATGAGCCTGAAATCTAAAGATAAATCACTAAATCAATCGAACAGTCAGGTAGGTACAAATCACCTTGTATGCAAGCTGCAGCTGTGTAAAAAGCAGTGAATTTTAATGTAAGAAAAGTCCCTCTTTAGGATTTTTGAATACTTTTAGCTTAAAATGCAAATATCCAAGTAGCAAAAATGGTCAGTCTTCAATGCCATTATTTGGAGATTAGTGGAGGTTAATACTTAGTGGTCAGTACCCCAGTTCACATCTTTCCTCTGTTTCTATGTGTCATGAGTTTGGATTGAGGGAAAATGTGTGGGGGGCACCGAGGACCAGTTTTAACAAATCCATATAGATAAATATGGTTTTATTTAAATGTTTTATTTTTTGGTCATCATTGAAATTTGTATGAAATTGAACCCCTTCTTTTCTTTCTCTTACTTAGGTCACATGGCCCGCTATAACTCCATCCTGAATCATGTTCCGAGTCAGCCGGTGTCGATCCGCACAGTCGCTGGGCCTCCTGGAGAGCCAGGCCGTCAAGGTCCTCCGGGACAGCAGGGAGAACAGGGTCCTCCTGGCCGGCCAGGATTTCCTGGAACTAACGGAGAGAACGGTCAACCTGGATCCAGAGGTGCTGATTACAGAGGAGAACAGTAATGAATATTAGAAACCTTGTGTACAGATTTGAGTACAGATGAATATGTATGGATCAGAGGAGGGGGTGATCATTTTTACTGCAAGTTTTGGCTTAAACAATGTCGTTTTACTGTGAAATCCTGCTTTGTGTAAAACCCACCAGGAGTGCAAAGATTAGGGATTATCAAGCAGGACCTGGAGTGTAGATTAGAGATGAACTGTAGCGTGACAGAACTAGTCAGACACTTGTGGATAAAATCAACAAGTGAGGCTTTAGAAATCAGAGAAATTCACAGACATAGTCAAAAAGCAGACGATGGTCAGAACTCGGATAAGAAGAGTACAAAACCAGGTGAACATAAAGTACTAAATCCAGGCAAACGCAGTCCGAAGAGAAAAATACCTCCCAAGGAAACAAGTCACACCAACAGTTCACATAGGGCAAGACACAGGTGTGTCTTCAAAATTCAGGTGAGGCAGATCTGTGATAGGCTGATGACTGTGAGGTCTGAGTCACATGATCTCCCAGGGAGTTCTGGGAAATGGCATCAATGAGGCTGTGTTTTGAGGAGTTACAGACCTGGAAGGATGCGTGACATGAACATCTCGTTAATGTCATAAGAAAATCTTGTATCTCCCAAATGGAAGCTTTATAGGAAAAGTAAAAATGTATGAAAGAAGAGAAGAAAAGAAAGGTAACTACTCATTCTGTGGTTTTGAAATGAATAAGTTAAGAATTCACATCCTGAAATCTGATTGGTCAAATCTTGCCTATCATGGTCTGACTGTCAAATCATTTTTCCCCTCATTGATCCATCGTCTCATTTGCAACATTGGCTTCCGTTTTTTCCACACCAGACAAAAGAGCTGAGACACCCAATTACACAATCTGTCTTCTTGACTTGGCATAAGAATGTATTTTCTGATGGAATGTGTTTCATCCTTTTTCTCACTTGTTACTTGAAAAGTCTGCATTATGGTGAGTGAGCGGGCGGGCGGGAGTGAGGGAGCAGCAGTGAGGCTGCTGTCAGGCACACAGTGAAATGTTGAGCTAGGTGAGCTGAATAGATGAGCCACATTTTGTGATAAACTATGCAGCCTTTCAAGCTGAGATGCTGCTCCGATGGTCCCACAAAACTGGATGATGCAATTTAGTCTATTATGCTGATTTATTCACGCACACTAAAGAGACTGATGAAAAGCATGAGTTATGATCACATTTTTAGTCGCAGTATTATTAACAGGTTGATATTTAATTCAGTTGATAGTCATGATTTATTGGGAGAAACCAAGCAATTCTCTGTAAAATCAGACATTCAACACCCCACATAGCCAGAACAGAATGATCTTTGTTTAAACAGCATTGTGTGATGACGCAATTATGAGACTGGCAATCGAATCAGGCTCCAGAGCTGCATGCGGCTCTTTTACTGCCCTGTTTCGGCCGCACAGCAGAATTAGATTTGTAGGTAAAAATAAAATAATCCTCCTTTGCAGTGAAGTAAAGCTCTGCTGTTCGTTCTAACACAGTTTTAACAATAAATGATCTTAAGCGCTGGAGTTAATGTAGAACTGCTAATTCACCCTTTAACCCTGAAGGTTGGCATGCAGACTGCTGGTCACCATAGCAACGCAGACAACAGTCTCGCCTAGCTAGTAGCTAACGAAAAAGAAAAGAGAAAGATTAAAGATGAACATTGATACTTTGGAGACGAATAGACATATTTGCATTTAAAAGCACTTTCTTGTTTGAATTTTCCCATTCCATCTTAAATGGTGCAGCAGTTACATTCTGGTGCCTCAGGCACCATTTAAGGTGGAACAGGAATATTCAAACAAAAATTGTGTGGATGAGAAGCGACTTCAGCCTCGTAAAAAATTAGAACGTTGAGAGACATTTTACAAGAAGCTTTTCTACTTTTGTGGAAAAATTTCCTGTCAGAGATGTGAGAAAAGCGGCATTAGCTGAGCTAAAGCTTAAAGCAGAGCAAAGTCAGTCTGCGTTTTTGTTTATATTAAATTGTTTAGACCTATACTAGCACATCAGCACATACTGAGACATATTTACAGCCAAGATAGTAAAATGAACATAAAATGTGGCTCCCAAGCTGGTTAGATTTTTGTTAAAAGGACAAAATGGCTATTCTGGTTGTCGACCCCTGGGCTAGACACACAGTCATATGCAAAAGTTTGGGCACCCCTGACATGTTTGTGTTGATTTTCAGGTTAAAATAAGTGAACACCTCCTCTACACACTGACATTTTAATGGACTTGCTGTTTATTTGCTGAATTTAATGTATTGGGGAAAAATAAAAATGTAAAATGTGGCCTGTGCAAAAGTTATGGCATATTCTATATTTTATGTTTTAGTGTTTTTCCAATATTTTAAACTAATAGAAATGGTGCACTTCACTTTACAGAAAAAATCTGTACTGAAGTTCCCTGTAGAGGATGTGCCAACTTTTACTCAGAAAATAAACAAAACATATAATATGATATGGGGTGTTCAAACTTTCGCAGACGACTGTGCATTTGTTCAGACAGTATGTCAAAAACAGGCGAACCATGCAGCGGTTCAGTCCCCGTTTTCTTTCATCAGTGCCAGACAACTCAAATAAGTATGAAAATATTCTATATGGTATTTCCCTTTAAGGCTGTTGTGAAAAAGTCAGTATCTGTCAAACCTGGAGTGAGACGTGTGTTAAAGGAATGTGCCCTGCGTTCCACTGCCGAATGTGAGTGAAGGCTGGTAATGGATGTATCTGTATGTGTGTCTCTGTGTGTGTAATCAGGTTCTCCAGGTGAAAAAGGAGAGAAGGGAAGCCCAGGTGTGGGTGTCCAGGGCCCCAGAGGACCTCAGGGACCTCCAGGTAAACAACCGCACACACACAATGAGGCATTAGGCAAACTACAGGCATAAGAGAAGATAAGGAGAGAGATATGCTTTTGGAGCTTTGTGGATGAGAAGGGAATGTGTTTGACTGTGCTGTAGAATAATGATGAAACACTGCAGGAAGACTCGGGTTCCTATGCCACAGTACAGCTCATTCCAAAACTAGTACAATCCCGGTAGAAGTGCACGAGCTCTCAGCTTTACACTCTGCACAGTGCACTCTTCATTCATTCATTCATGCAGTCTGCTTTGCAGCTCTGATACATGCACAGACTTAGAGCAGTGTAGTAACTAGACCCACTTATTCAGTTACATACTAAAAATGTGATTTTTTTAAATCATAATAGTTTTATTTCTACTTTCTACTCAGTTACCTTTATACTCCTCAGTCTGAATGTCCAGTATACTGGCTGTTTTTTTCCCTAGATATTCTAGTTTTATAGCAGCAATTATGTGACCTCACTTTTACGTGTTTCTACAGAACTCAGTCCTTCTGTTGGTTGGTCTTTTATCAGAATGTTTACTTTTTTAGTCTTGTCATGAACAAAAAACAAATATGGCATCTGGTGAGATAGACACGCACCTCCTTCAAGACCAAATGAAACACTGTTTCTGAGTTGTCCTTTATTTATTTCAGAATTTTTTTTTTTGTCCTTCTAGAAGGTCCCTCGTGTGAAAGGTAAAAAAAGGAAATAGAATATATGTATTTCTACAGACACAAATTCTGAGATAGATTTTAATGTCCAGCAATCTGGACATTTGGACTAGTAAACTGTATTGTGTAGTAAATTATGCTTTGATTGATATAATAGAGTCACGCATTACAAAACACAGGCATTTAAGATTTTTACAGGGCCCCACTGATGACGTCCTGTATAAAGAAAAATAATGCAGCTTAGGAACTTAGGGAACGAGAGAATAAAGCTGTGCTAAACCACATTCTGCATGTATTACAACAGCACGGCTCCGGGTGCTAAACTGGCCTACCTGCAGTTCAGATTGTCACCCACTGACAACATTTTGCACAATATGAAATGAAAAATACAACAAATGAACTGAACTGTTGAGTAGCTGAAATCTTATATCAAACAAGAACAGGAAAACATTTCACTTTCAAAACTACAGCAGTCGGTCTCCTCATTTCTCAAACGCTTGCAGTGTTGTTGGCATCAAATTTAAAATGGGAATATATTTTTCAAAAAAAACAATCAAATTTCTCAGTTTCAACATTTGATATGTTGTCTTTGTACTATTTTCAATCAAATATAGGGGTTTAAATGATTTGCACATCATTGCATTTTGTTTTTTATTTACATTTTTGCACAGCATCCCAACTTTTTTGGAAATGAGGTTGTATTATTATGTCAGTTATTATAAATTGTTTCAGCCTGTCTTCAAGCCCTGTGCCTCCATCTAGACACTATGATTGCTGCTATTGAGAAAGTCTCTCAACGATACACATTTCAGACATTACTGCAAATTTACCTCTAGTTTTAAGAGCCAGAGAAAATTTCACACAAAACTGGCTGTAGTTTCAGCTCAGCCTTTCATAAACTGAGTGGAATATGTAGTTACAGAATCTCCACCAATTTTTTATCCATCCTCCCATATTCTGCATGAACCTGCCAGAAATTAGAGAGCACTTTGTTTGTGTCTCTCTCTATAAAGTGCATAAACTGTGCATAAAAAAAGTGCATAAAGTGCATAAACTGTGCATTTAGGCCAGTTTCATACATAACACCTGAGCACTGGAGTGTGTTCTGTCTGTGCCTGAAACAAGCACAAAAGTCTTAGTACATGTGGCCCAGAGAGACTATAAATACATATAAGAAGCTGAGCACAGGTAACATTTTTATCTGTCCTTATTATTTAGCAACAAGCTCATGCTGGGAATTAAAGAGTTTTTAAATCTGTTACGGCACATCTGTGACAAGAGCGAGAGGGTAGACGGTGAAATTTTACATCTAAAGGAAGATAATAAAAGAATAGGATGTGCCTCTAAAACAGGCGTGTGCAGGATTTGCAGGTCTGGTCACCTGACTGGTTTTGGCAACACTATTAAGAAGATTCCTGATGACTACAATACATAAAGGTCAGAAGTGATTAAATAAAAGACTTGTGAAAAAAAGGGAGCTGCCTTTCTTTGAACCTGAATTCTTTCACCCGTAAGTTGTCTAAGCTGAATGCAGGGCATCATGGGTATTGTAGTGGCCTGAGGAGACGCTGCACAGGCCAAAACAGAAGCAGCGTTTGAGGACAGTCACAGGAAATGAAGAGGCCTCGGTGAGGTCTGTGAACCATGTGTGCATGTGTTATGTGTTTGTGTTTGTGTGTGTGCACTCTCAGGGCCACCTGGTGAGGGAAGGGCTGGTGGTCCAGGCCCCGCTGGTCGCCCTGGTAACTCCGGAACTCCAGGCAGGCCGGGCATGCCTGGGCCAGTAGGACCCGCCGGACCTCCGGGCTACTGCGATCCAAATGCTTGCGGATACAACGTTGGAGGTGAGTCTCTCTCTCTTTATCTCTTTCTCTCTCTCTCACACACACATAAACACACACACACACACACACACACACGCACACACACAGTACTGGACAAAGCCTTACAACATCTGAGAAATGTAATTTAAAGCTGTATATCTGGGCAGTAAGTGTTTATTTGTTTGGAAAGACAACAACATTAGAATAAATACAAATAAACATTACTATAATGTGACTGGATATGTCACTGTTACCTTAACCATCTCTAAATTTACTCTTACTCTGCCGATTATTTTAAATTCTATTAAGATTATAAGATGATAAGATTAAATAAGATTATATTCAATTATTTAAATCATCTCAAGATATCAGGAACTTTTTGAGAACAACTTTTTACTGTATTTATGTTCATTTGTCACAAAACACTTTATTCTCAGATAAATAGTTTTCAGCAGATTTCTTGGCTGGTCTAACGGACAGTACAGTGCTGCACACACACACACACACACACACACACACACACACACACACACACACACACGTAATTAAAACAGTAATTTAGCACTACACATAACTGATAAATAGGTCAGTCTATTAAACATTCTTTAAATCCTTTCAGAAGTGAATGGACAATGCGCTATGACACTAGCTATTCATGCCTCAGTGCATGGACCTCACTATATCAACACATCAAACCACAATTTTGATGTTCTGATTGTTTTTCTTGCACGTAGTTTTACCTCAAAATTTCCCAAAATCAGGAACTCTGTTCTGATTCTGTTATGAGTGACCCCAGCGTGTGGAGGCCAGGGTCACTCATGACACAAAGCTTTAGCAGTTCTACTGGTTTTGTAGTCCATTAGTTTTAGTGCATGGTGAATTTCAGCTTTTTTTTAAACTGAACACTAAGGCCAGTGATACACAGAGAGCTTTTTATGGCTGCATAAAAGGGCAGTTTGCAAGAGGAATAGGAACAGTCAAATGGATGCAGTGAGGGTCAGTGATTAGCTGCATCTACATTGATTGTAAAAAAATAAAACATCAGTGTAGGTTTTTATTGTCATTAAGTCTGCTTAAGGATGTTTTCGGGACCAAAAAGGTGCAAAAATAGTCAAATATACAAAATCACATAAGTGTCAGACGTTCATTTTAGCCATAAACATTGTGTTTAATGCAGAAACCTTTAGCCAATGATGTTTCAGATGTTGCCCAACCCCATAGATAAATGATTAAACATGCTATAATCAAAAAAGCAGGAAAGGTGATAAGTTGAAAAAATAAAAATAGCCAGTAAATGATTAATTAATTAATTAATTAATAAACATGTATTAAATGTTTGGAGATTTTAATAATTCATTAAAAGCTTTCTTTTGTTCTTAACTTTATAATTTCCTATATTATGTCATAGCAGTTTATTGCTAGCGGGGATTTGTTGTTTTTGGGATCCCATAAAAAGATTGCACACTTTTCACTGACACTCTGCAAATAATGGTGTCTTGTCAAGTAAAATGATCTCAAATCTAGGCAAAAAAATCTAATATTTCCCCTGGTGAGATTGTTGTAAGCTTAATTTAAGATTGTTTAACTCATTTCTAGGCATTTTTACTTGTTCTAAGTCATTTTACTAAGTAAAATTATCTTACAATATTGGCAGATGATTGTGCTTGTTTTAAGAAATGTGCTTTAAAACCAGCAAAATGATCTTCCAGTACAGTGAGATAATTTTACTTAATAAAATGACCTAAAACAAGTAATAAAATAAGCTCTTATAATAAGTGCACAGCCATCTCAAAATGGGAAATGTTACATATATCCACTATATTTAAGATCATTTAACTTGACAAAATACAATTTTTGCAGTACAGTAATGGTTACAGATTCAGGTTTTTCAGATTTAGGTTTTGTGTGTCATTATTTTAAATTATTTCTCACTGAAAAGGGAACCTAATCGTTATATAGTCAATTAACTGAAAAAAAACACTCTTGATAAATTAACCTGTTATAGCAATAAGCGTTACTTTCAGCTGTAATTCGTAGTGCTCCCCACTTTAGCATTGATATAGTGGACAATGAGGAATGAATTTAAGGATAGAATTCAGCTGTTACTGATCAAATTTTCAGCCCATGCTACGTCAAAAAGATCACTGGTATCATGGCCTTGCTGTGTGGATCTTCTGGTGTCACATAAGATCCAAACAGTGTGTGTGTGTGTGTTTATGTGTGTAGTTGAGTATTAAAGCTATGCTGAATCCCTCTGTGTACTCTCCACCCAAGCATTCCATAAGCACAGTGCTTATGTCAACACTGCCAGTGTACTGTTGGGTTCATCATCTGTGATGATAGTGTGTTGAATGCATGGTACTTAATGTCAGCTGTTGACTCAAGAGTTCATGCCAAGCATATAAGTTGTGCATTGCTTATGTGCAGATTTCTGAATGTGTGTGTTTGTTTGTCCTGTATGGTTGGATGTCTTTATCGCTTGATTGATAAAGAAGCATCATCACTGTCATCATCATCATCAGTGATTCAATCAAAGCCAAGCATGAAACGATCACTGTCCGTCTTACTGACCTCTCTTGCTTTTTTCTGTGTCTGTCTGTGTCTCTCTCTCTCTCTCTTTCTAGTTGACGACCAGATACAGTTTGTGAATGAGTACTGAGCTGCAGGCTCCATTCACACACTCTGTGTAGTTTGTTGATGCAGATGCCTGGAGTCTTTTCTTAACACACTCACATGCACCCACCTACTCACACACACACAGCCTTTGAAGCGCTTGCTCTGCCTTGGACGCAAACACAGGCTCACTTGTACACCCTTGGGTCATAATAGTGAAAAGTGCTTTATTTGCATTGTTGCTTACTAGCTACATGTAGCTAATGTAATGATGGGGGGCATGCAGTACTGTACAAAAGTGAGAGACCACCCTTTATTTATTTAATCACCAGTCAAAGTGTCCATTGTGTACAAGTTATTCATTTTTAGGAGGTATTTCTGGGGCGGCACAGTGGCACAGTGGGTTGTGCTGGGTTCGATTCCCCGACCGGGCAACCTGGGTCCATTCTGTGTGGAGTTTGCCAGTTCTCCCCATGACTTCCTTCCACAGTCCAGGTGTGAATGTGTGTGATTGTATGTGTCTGTGTGTCTATGCTGTGGTGGACTGGCGACCTGTCCAGGGCGTTTCCTGCCTTCCACCCGATGGCCGCTAGGATAGACTGCACCTCCACGACAGAAGGTTAAGCGGCATAGAAGCTCTTACTGAGAAAGGAAAATAGACTAAAAAGGATAAATTGAACAAAGAAGCTGCTGGTGTTCTCAGAACAATGGACTGGCCACCCCAGAGTCAACATCACTGAGTGCGTTTGGTATCTCTTGGATGGTAAGAAGCAGAAAATGCAACCAACTTCTAAGACTGAACTTTGGAGGTGTGGAAAAAATATCCCTTCAGATTTCTTTGAAAAACTGAAAGTGAGCCTCCTGGAAACTGTAGTAAAAGCAAAGGGTGGACACACTGAATACTGAAAAATATGATGTTGTATTGGTAGTTTATAAATATGTGATATATTGATAGTATATATCAAATCTGGAGTTATATTGACACAGGTGATGAGCCATTAAATACAAAATAGCTTGTTTTTAAGCTTTCTGATGGCTGTTTGGGTATAAATGAAACAAATGAAGGGTGGTCTCTCACTTATGCACAGCATTGTGTGCGCTGGTGTTCATAATTGAGCTGTTCTGGCTTACACACTTTCACACACTCGCACACACATCACTCACACACTCTAACTCTACTTCCTGCTTGCTGCTGCGGGTGCAATGATGTCATCAGTGACTATGTGCTTATGTCCTGTCCTTCCACTATGTGCTGTGTGTTTGTGTGTGTGTGTGTGTGCGTGCGCATCCGTGCTCGTCCGTGCCGCTTGGTGGTGGTCAGAGAGGGAAATTGACCCTGAAGTGACTGACAGCGATATTCCCGTAGTCCAACTGCCGCCAAACTCGTACCCACCTTACAACCCAGAGGAAGAAGGTGAGGAGGACCCTTACGGCAGTTACGGGACGTACCCCTCCTACTACCAGCCCAACTACCCCCAGCCCCGCCCCGTTGAGCCAGACGACCCGGTCATAGCAGAGGAGATGGAGGAGCTGCGGTCGCCAGGGATACAGCGGCGAACTCGCAGCGTAGCAGAACGGAGGAGGGTCAAAAAGGAGACTCAGGAATGACCCCTATTATCTAACAACCTCCTGTTAACACCTGTTAACCCTTAAAGGGGGATTCCACCAATTTTTTTGAAAAAGTCCTGCATAATTTTTTCACTGAGATGAAAAGAAAGTCAGAGTGATTTGATGTGGAATGATTCACAGACAAACTCTTTACAGTGGTGGTGATAGGAACCAGAGGTCTCAGTGTCTACAGCACAAATATAGCCTATTTATTTACTATTCAATATGACCAGTGAACTTACACATTTCCTGAGATTTTGTTTGTAATGTTGATGATGGTACAGTAGTGGCAAATCTAAAAAATAAGTTTTCTTTGGGAACAATTTTGGCCTACAACATATCGATATCAACATATATATATATATATATGTATATATATATATATGTATATATATATCGCTGCTGTCGAAACAAAACCTTGTACATCAAAATGATACAGGAGAAGTTAAAAACATACCTTACTTTTTATGTAAGTCAATGGAACCAGACTTTTTTCTAAGCTGTTTTGGACCATTTCTTTTGGTCCATTCATCATGAAATTTACACACAATGTACAGAGCAACAGGCATTTTCAAGTTATGTCAAAAACTGAAAAATGACAAAAACGGACATAGAGGTTTTGTTCCGACATCAGCGATTTATAACAAAACAAATGAAAGGCCAAAATGTTGAAACTATCATAAAACAGTGTCTCAGGCACTTATGACCATTTTGTATAATAAACCCTGCAGTGCTGCTTTTAGATGTATTAAACACTTTCAGACGCCTGGTTCCTATCACCACCACTGTGGTAAATTCTGATTCGGTTCCTCTAGAACGGAGCATTTCACACCAAACCATTGTGAACAACTTTGTCTACATCTTAACCATTTAATTATGCTGAACCTTAGCAAAATAGGAGGAATTCTTCTTTAAAGGAATAGTTTGCAATTTTCCCTCACCCTAAATGTAGTTGATCAGCCAAGACTTTTTTGGTGTCCAAAGTTTGCTTTAGTTTTGCACTGGTGCTACAATGCTAATGTAGCTAACAAGTGATGGAAGCTGATACCCTGAACATTAGCATCATAAAATCTGCTGCCTGAACCGTCACACATTTGCCTTGAGTTATAAAGTAACCTCAAATATACAGATTTGTGTGGTTTCTGACACTGTATGACATACAGTGATCTACAGACACGGATAAAAGCTGCTCTTTTTAGCATTGCATAGCTAAAAAGAGTAGCTGTAGCCATCTTGAAGTCTGAATTGTGTGGCGTGTGGTGATTTAGGCCTGCATGATGCTTGTGATTTTGATATGGACTGACTGATGATATTGGTGGGTGAGGTATAAACCACCGCTGTTTGTTAGCTCATAGTACCAGTGCAAAACTAAAGAAGCAAATTTCAAACACCAGACATGTTTTGGCTGGTTGATGACTTATTTGACGAATGGAGAAAATTGTGTAAATTTGATTTACTCACTTTAAAGACCTGGCACAACGCTGTTAAAACTCCTATTATGTCACCAGCCAGGCTCAGTATATCACATAACTACGGCACATGACGTTACATTGTGCTGAAGTTATCAGTAAAAGATTGTGGGCTCAGTCGGCCCTGTTCAAGCTGATGTGTTGGGTGGGCTGTCTTTTGGGTGTTTACGAATGAGTAGGATTAAGAGAAGTGTTTGCAGTCTTGCATAAGTGGGAGACAAGTGCAAGCAGAGCGGTGAGATGTATTGTGTGGAAATCTCTAAGTGCCTGATATACAGTGAACACAGGAGAGATCTCTCTTTCTCTCTCTCTCTCTCTCTCTCTCTCTCTCTCTCTGTATAAAGACTTGTGTTCTGTTGCTCAGTAATTGTAAATTAACTTTCATATCGTCAGTCATGTACAGACCACCTTTTGATGTTTACGATATCATTGGATTTCATCTGTGCTTTTAACCATCTGAGACTCACTCCTTCAAGCTTTCTGATGTCTGTTTAATCTCATCTTCACATGAACCCCATGTGAAGTCTAGAGTCCAGATGCCTCTGTATTAAGTGCCTGTTTATAATATTAATCACATGTATGTTAAAATTATTCTAGTGGATTTTGTAGATAAGTATGTTGATAAGAGTACTTTATCTCAACCATTTCAGTAGTTCTTTCACTTTTTATGAAATCTTGGCTGAAGTCATTAAGAGTAAGCTTTTGTTTTCATCATTCAGATTATTTATTTTGTTTCATTGGTAGTGTCTCTACAGTGTGATTGTCTTATAAACTCATAAAAGAGAAGTTTCTCAACCTATGAAATGTGACAGTAATGATTTTCTTGCTGTTGAACATTCCAGTTCCCATATGCTCACCACAAGTTTATGAAATAGAATGGTGCTAAATGTATTAATATATATGATTAGCCTCTGTGGAATATGTGGAACGTTTGGTTCTTAATTGTGTTTGGCCGTATGTTGCGGTGCTCCGGTGTCAGTGTGCTTAGAGATTTGTTTTATTCCATTTTAAAATCCCTATGAAAGAGAAACAGAGACCATGTACAACTGATCACGAAAAGCATCATCATCATCAACATCATCACAGTTGTGAAAAACCACGATCAGATATTCGCCTTATTTTGATTCAAGTTTGTTTTTGGCAATAAAACAGGAGTTCCACCAAAAACAGCTGTTCTTTATTTCCCTAGTTCACATGGATGCGATTTAAAGTGAAAAAACGTCTAATTTACACCCCTAATGTAGTGGATTTGCCAAGACATTTAGAGTCTGGGTAACACTTTACTGTAGGCTTCTGTTCATAAGGCTACATGACACCTGCACAAGCTCGTCACAACAGCTGACATAACCCTACACAGATGTTTATAAACACTTTTTCCAATAGGCGTCATTCACTATAAAAGTTACATTTGCCAATTTTGATCAGTGTTAGCTAAAGTAGCCTTTATGACATGACACCTATTGGAATTAGCATTCATAAACATTTATGTAGGGCTATGTCATGTTGTCATGAGCTTATGTAGGTGTCATATAGCCTTATGAACGGAACCCTACAGTAAAGTGTTACCAGTGTCTGAAGTTTGCTTCTTTAGTTTTGCGCTGGAGCTACGAGGCTAATGTAGCTAACAAGTATTGGAAGCTAACTCACCAATTACCACTGTGCAAACTGCAAGATCATCACTGTCTTGCTTTAAACTGTTATCTATAAAACAGACAAATACATGTTTTTAAAGTTTTGTCTAAGTATGTCATACAGTGTCAAACACACACATAAGTAAGTCTATTGAGATCACTCAACAACTCAACACGGTTTGAGGACGAGTGTGATTGTGTGATGATTTAGGCAACCGGTCTGGGTTGAACCAGGTTTGTGTACGTTTATACTTTACTGAGTCCTTAGTTACACTAGTTAGTTTCAGACTATCCTTTTACTAAATTTGGTTGCGCCACAAATCCGCAAGTTGTGTCTTAACTAGTAACAACTAACTAATGGATTGGTAAACCCGCTCAACTGCGGCTCTGACTTTTCCAAGGAAAAATATCCAGCCTAGAAGAGAACGATGTGTAAGTTAAACTGAATAACACTAATTATCTACAGCCACTGTCTGTATATTCTTTAATATTTCCCTGAGAAAACCAAATATGCAGCTTTTTAAATGCAGTTTCTGGCCTCAGTTTAGACATTTGGGCAGCAGCTGACTCATGTTTTTGGTCTTTTTTGTGATTTCTATATGGTTTCTGATGGTTTCCCCAAAACTTACACCTGCTTAGGAGAGGTGTTGATATTTCGCAAAGTCCAACGTTGAAACTAGTTTGTATGATGCAACTTAGTAAACATTTGCGTTACAGCTAGCCTATGTTTAAACGTACGCACAGCTGTTAAAGTTTCAAAACGTACACACACACGTATATATATATATATATATATATATATATATATATATATATATATATATATATATATATATATGTCAATCATAAAGCCAGTGAAAAATAAGGTAATTTACATATATCAATCTTAAAGGCATTATAACACAAACTGTTCAATTCTAAGGAATAAAGGCAGATTGGAAGGCCTCTTTCACTCTCACACCCTGGTACTTTAACCTCTAATGACCAGGATTTGCATCATTAACACTTGCAGCTCTTAAACAGCATTTTACCAGGACATGTGTCCATGCTTGCTATAAACGGGACAGGATGTCTGAACGGACAACAGCTCCTTTACCAGCATTTAGACTCCGTTCTGCACTTTACCAACTCCCTTTATAGTTATTGTTAAATTGACAGGTAAAGGTGAATGCGATAGGACTTAAACCCACACAAACATCATAAGTGGATCACTGAGGGAAAAATAAAACACAAGAAAATGTAGAATGTGTATCATGATACATCTCTCTCTCTCTCTCTCTTTGCAGACTCAAGTATTCTCCGTGTCTCAGACATGTAGGGTCATGATCCTAACAGGGTTGGTAAAGTATTTAGGTCAAATAAAGGTGTGGAGAGGGGACAGAGGCAGCCCCGAATAACACTGAGAGGCAGATGTTCTCTCTCTCCCTGTCTGTCAGACCCAACAGGCCTGTCATTTACACACACGTGCATTTCTCAGAGCTGATTCATGAGTATAAGATAACCCAGTGCATGGCCTACCTGTTAGGCCCCAAACATCTCCTTCTCTCTGTTGTTCTTCCTTCCACCCCTTACTCTCTCTTTCGTTCTGTCTCTCTGTCTCCTCCCACCTCCTCTCTGTCCCCAAATGTGTTGATGGGTTCAGTCAGACCAGATAGTCAGATAGGATCTATCTTGAGGACAATTTGCCACCAAGCACCCTCTATGGGTGATGATCACACCGCGCTCTCTGTCTAGCTCTGCTTTTCTGTTGAGTCACATGAGCATTTGCTGCTCATTAGAAGCAAACAGCTGTTCGCTTTTACACTCCAGCTGTTGCAGGATGCTGCCTTCACTCACCAGTCTTGAGTCACACTGTCAGTACTGTAAGCTCATACAAACCCGGAGGTTTGTAGAAATTTGTACAAATACAGTTACAGTTACATACTTAATTCTAAAAACTTAGAAGGCACTTGTGGGGAGCAGTTACAGCTACATCGATTAAATGTGATCAATGACTAATAATGTGATAAATATATATTGATTACATGAAGACAGAAATCATAAACTGGAAATGAAATTTGGATCAAATGAGAGACATGATTAATGAAGTAACTAAAATAT